GGAGGGAGGGAGGGAGGGAGGGCAAACGGGCGGGCGGGCGAGAGGGAAGGAGGGAGGGGAGAAGAAGGAAGGCATCAGGAAAGGATCCCCTAAACCATGAAACTTAAACCCTCAACCCTAAAGCTTGAACATAAACCCAGAAACCTAAACCGCGCCTTGTTCCACGAGATGGCTCAAGTTGGCGATCTCCACCTGGTTAGGCCGGGGCTTTCGTTCTCAGGTTAGACTCAGAGCTTGATGTCGAACCAGGGTTTAGGGTTTAGGATCCAATACTCGGGTTCTCTTGCGCAAGACCGGTCTTGACCTTCACGTCATCTCTTCTCTGGCTCTTTGGCCCGTGTAGAGGCAAGCCGTGGGTTGAAACCATCAGCACACTGACCCGAGCGTGATCATGGAAGTCGTGGTCAAGGCGCGGAATTCTACCGCGAAAGCGGTGGTACTGAGTGCGGCAGCGGCAGGGTGTGAGGACTGGAGGGATGTTTGTCCTGCGGGTTGATGGTGGTCGTGGTGACGGTGCAGGTCCGGTTTCGGCTGGGGGTGTGGTGCAGTTGGCTGGCCACGGATGTAGGCGGTGGCAGCTCTTGGCAGTGCTAGCAATTGGTGCTGGTCTCGACAGTCGCTCCGACAGTGTCTGCTCGTGGCAGCTGATTATAGTGTTGTGTTGACTGCCCCAAAAGTTCGTAGCTAAATCCAAATTAAGCCATCGGCAGAACTCCCGCCTCGACAAGCAAAATGTTTAACACCTCCAGAACCCCGAAGCAGGATTCACTTTTCCTAGAACTGAGACCTCCGTGATTCCCCTGACAAACTCAATGCAAAAAGAAAAGCCCACCTTCAGGTTGTGAATGGTCTCTTTCGCCCGCTGCTCTTTCTCGTGGCTGGCCTTGCAGAAGTACATGACAAGTTTCTCAAAAAGACTCAGTACTACTACTACTACTACTGCTCCTCCTCCTCCTCCTCCTCCTCCTCCTCCTCCTGCTCCTGCTCCTGCTCCTGCTCCTGCTCCTGCTCCTGCTCCTGCTCCTGCTCCTGCCCCTGCTCCTGCTCCTGCTC